GCTGGGCTGCCTGCGCGCACTGGGCTGCCTGTGCGCGGCCTGCGCGCGGGCTGTGCGGGCCTGGCGAGCTTCTTAGGGCCAAATGACTTGGGAAAATATACTCGGAATGACAACTAGGGTTCGTGTCCGGTAATTCCTCGAATTGACTTGCTATTATTTAATAATCCAAATTAATGGATTAACCTTAACTTATACTTGAGATAGAATTATTCAAAGAATAATTTATCATGTTTGAGCATTTAGCATAAATAATATAACTCGATAATTTTTGAAACTTACGGATTTCACTTATAGTCGAGCAGTGAAACCGTTTTGAATATAATTACTGTTTTGGGGCGTTACAAAGACGGATATCTGGGTCTGTGTGAACTCAAGCAAGCGTCGCCTGGCAGCCTCTAGGTTGGTCTCTACATCCGTCCAGGATACCATCCAGGAAGTGATCCTGGGGAACCCTGGGTAGCTGGCAGCATCCTTCCTCACTGGAGGAGGAAGGAAGCCATGCTCATAGGCCCACGCCTACACGGAATAACATCAAGTCAAGAGCGTATTGATTGAAGTACAAAGGAATCAGAATATCAAAAGAGAATGTTTTCTAACCTGAAGAAGAATAGGGGAGCATAGCAGATCCTTGCGCTGCTCATGAGCGCACAAGTCCAGGGCGTAGTACATCTGAGCCAGCCCTGCTCTGGCCCAGTCCAAAGTGGAAACAACAACTAAATCAACCAGGCTAGGAAGAAGAGCCCAGCACACCTCGCTGTTAACCCTAGGGAACAGCGCCTTCGTCAAGGCGAATAACAAAAAAGCTCTGGCAAATCTCTGCACATCAGCGTCCTCAAGCACCTCTCTAACTCTCCCTAGCCAGTAATCTCGCAAGTGGTTCGCCGGGAGCGAACCGTCAGCTCTCACAACCCCACCAACTCTCTGACCATATCTCGATCTCGACCAGACAACTCGAACACGAAATTGAAGTGGATCACCGTGCCCGTAAACGAGAGTCTGGTGAGTGCAGCAAAGTCGACGGGAGTAATGGTGAACTCCCCGGTAGCCATGTGGAAGGTATGAGTGGTATCGGACCACCGCTCCACCAGTGCAGCAGTGACCTCAGGAGAAGAGCGGGGGGCGGCCGCCCGTAGATGGCTAAAGAAGGTACCAAGGCCAGTTTGGTCGACCAAGGCCTTTACGGCATCGAAAAGACGGTCGTAGAACTTGCGGACATCCTGCAAGCTCCCGACAGTCTTGTGCAGGGGACGACCCTACACAAAGTTCAGGGAAGTTTTAATTTTTTTAAAATTTATTCCTCAGTCATTTTATATTCTTTTTCAAATAAATAGCACATATAAATCACATCATTTCATTTAATAAAAAATAATAATAATAATAA